TATAATTTAATATATAATTAATTAAATTTCAAATCATTTAATTAATATACTAATGTTATAATAGAATGTTATAATTGATTAAGTAATCATATTATAAATATATAAGGTAATGTTATAATTAATTAAATTTTTAATCGTTTAATTAGTAATGTAATAATATAGTAAATTACTAATGTTTTAATGTAATGTTATAAATTCATAACTATTAAGTAATTATATAATCATTTAACTATGTAATGCTATAATTAAGTAAGTGATCATAATATATGTAATATAATAATATTATAATTTAATTAAGTAATTATTTAACTATAATGTAATGCTTAATTAATGTTTATAATGAAATGTTTATAAGGTAATGTTATAATTAATTAAATTTCTTATCATTTTATAAGTATTGTGCTAATGTTTTGTAGTAAATAGTATTTCTAATGTTTAAAACATAATATCATAACTCATAATCAATTAATAATCATTTAATATGTAATGTTATATTAATTATATAATCATACTATATAGTAATATAGTATAATGTAATGTATAATGAATATTAGTAATCATACATAATCTATAATTTATATTATAATTAATTAAATTTCAAATCATTTAATTAATATACTAATGCTTATAATAGAATGTTATAATTGAATAATTGAAAGTAATCTATTTATAAAATATAAGGTAATGTTATAATTAATTAAATTTTAATGTTTAATTAAAAAATATAAAAATATAGTAAATTAATAGTTTATATGTAATGTTATAAATTCATAACTAATTATGTAATTATGTAATCATTTAATTATGTAATGCTATAATTAAGTAAGTGATCATAATATATAATGTAAATATATAAATATTAATTTATTGAGTAATATTTAACTATAAGTAATGCTTAATTAATGTTTATAATGAAATGTTTATAAGGTAATATTATATTAATTAAATTTCTTATCATTAATTAAGTATTATGCTAATGTTTATGTAGTAAATAGTAATTACTAATATTTATAATATAATGACATAATCTATAAGTAATTATATTATGTAATGTATAATTAATACATAATATACATAATGTAATGTTATAGTGAATTAACTATTAAGTAATCATACTATAAATTTTTATATAATATTATAATTAATTAAATTTTAATCATTTAATTAAGTTTGTACTAATGTTATAAAAATGTTATAATTGACTGAGTAATTATACTATAATCTATAACGTAATGCTATAATTAATTAAATTTTATTATAAGTCAATTATTACTATTTAATTAGTTATAACTTATAAGTAATTAATTAACTATTTAATTATGTTATAAATGATAAGTCAATTAATTAAGTAGTAATCAATTAATGTAATGCTATAATTAATTATACTATAAATCAATTAAGTAATGTTATAAAATTATAATTAATTAAGTAATCATTTAACTATAATGTAATGTTATAATTGATTAAGTATGATATTTAACTAGTAATTAAATTTATTAATGTTTATCAATTTATCATATATAATTAATTAATTACTACTTTATTATAGATATACTTAGAACTTGATAATTGAAGTAAATAACTAAATATATTATTACTCAATCAAATATATGATTTTATTCAAAAATAATTATTTTAATAACATTAAAAATGTAAAACACTTTTAATTGGATCATAATTCCAATTATTCACTTAATTAATCAAAACTTTAATATTAATGTATTATAATATATTAAAGCTTTTAATATGGTGTAATTCATATGTAATAAGTATAATTGTATTCGTATATTTATTTAATTAAGTTATTCTAAAAATTTAACTTTTTCTATTTTAATTTTTTTATATGTAAATAATAGAAACTCCCCCATTATTTACATTTCACAAATATTTCATTATAGTCCAGGTTCCAAAATAGGTTCCAAACAGGTTCCAAAACAGGTTCCAAATAGGTTCCAAACCGGGTACCCCCTAAAGGTTCCAAACATGGTACCTTTTTTACAAGTTTCAGTTTCGGTTCCTGTTCCTGTTCCTCCACATGCAAGAACCGGAACCGGAACAGTATAGTAGCGGTTCCAAAAAATTGGAATCGGAACCTACCCGCACAGTGCCGATTCCAGGTAGGTTCCGGTTCTACCCCCCGGTTCTGGTTCTACCGCTACTCGTGCTCACCCCTAGTTTGCATTAAACAACTTGTGGATTAATTTGTTGATAATCATGCATTGTAATTTCAATTTTATTAGAAGAATTATTTGATTTTAAAGTTTTAATAAGAATTTTCTAAAATTCGGATAGATTTCGGATATCCAGTTATCCGATTCGGAAAATCGAATATCCGAAAAATCAGATAACCACATATTTTGGATCGGATTCGGATCAGATCAGAAATAGGACCATTCGGATCAGATATCCGGATTTGAACTGCCGTAGTACCCATAAGTTAAAAGATGTGGTATCAATTCTAAAGCATAAATCATTGTCCCAAACAACTTTAGATAAATATTTCATCTTAAACATTTAATGTAACATAGCATATATTTTTTTACAATATACAGATAGTTATTACTATGTGGAGGCAACTTTCCTTAAGACAGGAATTAGAATAATTATAACTTATTACAATATGGAGTTTATTTTTATTTATAACTATCCAAAAATGGGAATAAAATTTTTTACGACTATGTGTATGGGCCAAAATTCGTATTGGACCTGATGAGGTCCAACCGCAACAGTAATGAATGACGGCCCAGAGTCTTAGCCCAATCCCGATTGGGCCCATGCTTAGAACACCTTGGGAACTGCCTGCTCTATGAGTTAGGTCATCCCTCGAGTTAAGTTAAACTGGGTCCGACCCATTCACCCACAATAGTCCATAACGAGTATCAGAATCCTAATCAAACTCCTCTACCGACAAAGCCTCGACAAATGGAGGCAAAGAATCCAATCTCTTCTCGAAAAAAGAGTTCCCTTACCAAATAGGACTCAAAGTCCCACTAGGATTTAAGCCCTTGCGGTTCACTATATTAGCTAAGGTCAGCCCACCCATAAGGGGAGAAAAGATCATCAGAAAACCCTACTGCTCATATCACCAAACCCATAATCTATCTCAATCCCCTGGCATTGCTTGGACTCCCTGAGAGACACTAGGAGGCACCCCACAGGTCCACCAAGGTTGTCAATGGCTTGCTTCACAAGATTCATTCTTCAACTCGATTATAAATTTTAGCGTTTACAATTTGGTGCCCACCGTGGGGCCCTGCCAACCAAACGATCAAGTGCGGCCTGTTGTTCAACCTTTCCCAGTCTGTTCGGCCCTCATGGCAAATCCCAACGAAAATGCAGCGCCAGACACCGCAGCCCAGATCGAAGCACTCACTACACTAGTGAAGGAAAGCAACAAGAGGTATCAATCCCTAGAAACATATAATGTTACCATCTACACCGAGAATCAAGCTCTCCAAGATAAGGTAAATCAATTTTACTTCCTAGATTGGTCATTCAACCAGCATCACGCATCTACTTCCCGACCCCCCATTCAACCCCGACAACTGTTCCTGAGCCCAGATGGTGGCACCTTCACCAGCGCCGACAATAACCAAGATCTAGGCAACCCTACAAATGTGGTTGAGTCGAACTAGGGGGAACATCCTCACGAATCTACCCATCCAACTACCATGACACATGCCCACACCGCGCTTCTCCAGCAAGTAGACACCCCTCTCGCACACCGACAAATGCGCCTCATGCAGACTCTAACCGAAACGACTCACCAAGACGTGCCATTCGGCACAGCCATCCACATTAACCTAAGAGTCTTCCCCCAACTCCTCTAGAACTTTAACACCTCTACTCCAATCGCCCTGGAACAAACACTAGCCAAACGACTAGCCGAAGTAAAAGCCATGATCCAACGAATCTTGGGGATGCCGACACCCCTAAAGAAGAGTCAACTTCAGAGCTTCGTTGAATCGCCGTTCGTGGATACCATAGCTCTCATAGACATGCCTCGCAAGTTCACCTTCCCAAACATGAAGTCGTACGACGACACTACCGATCCAATTGACCACATAGCCTCTTACAAGCAGAGAATGTTTGTCATCGCCAAACCAAGGGACTTTCACGAAACATGCATGTGCAAAAGCTTCGGCTGCTCCAACCTAGTAGGGCCCGCGTTATAGTGGTACACCAACCTCCCAAACCATTCCATCTCCTCATTTGCCTACCTCATGGTTACCTTTGTAAAGCAATTCGCTAGCAGCAAAAAATTGAAAAAGCTATCCGGTGACCTATACCGAATCCGATAGCACAGCGGAAAGCCCTTACGAGACTACGTGGGACGATTCAACCGCAAAAAGGTATCCATCCCATTTTTTCAACCAAGAAACTGTGGTCGACACTTTCATGAAAGGCCTAATCTTAGATGGGGAGCTGTACAAAGAACTCACGAAGTTCAACTGCGGCGCCATGGAGGATGTGTTGGCTCGTGCTTGGGTTGAGATAAGGTGGGAGGAAGATAAGGTTCATCGAACTCGGCAAAGCGCCCATGAGGATCGTTGCGCTCGATGCCTCAAGAAACGATGCAACACGAGACCAGCGAAGCCTTACACAGTGAGAAGAGTTTTCGTTCGAGACAATAGACGTCAGCTAGACCGTCATTCGACAGGGATCAACGAGTCCCATGAACCCTCAAGTATAAGCTACCCGATTACAACCTTAATATTGAGCCACCTAAAGTGGTAGCAGTGATGAAGGAAATAGGAAACGTGGTCAGATGGCCGACCAATTTGAAACACCCTAGAGCAAAACTAAACACCAATAAGTGGTATGAATTTCATGAAGATCATGACCACAACACCATTGACTGCATCACACTTCGCCTCAAAGTCGTCGAGCTGCTGAAAAGAGGGCACCTCTGTGAGTTCCTGATAGACAAGGGAAAAAACATCGTCACCAACAGACAGCGCTAGGTTACTCAGCCACCAAAAGAACCCCCAGCGGATGCAATGTGCAGGGTCATTTCAAGGGGATCAAAGGTTAATGGAGTCAGCTACTCCGCAGCAAAGCGTCATGCTCGGGTTGCAGCCAACCCACAATTCCAACATTCTAGACTGCCACAGCAAAGAGCTACCAACCTGACAATTGAATTTGTGGATAACGAGGCAGCAACATTACTAAACCCCCATCATGATGCGCTTGTGGTTACTCTCCAGATCGCCAACATCATTGTCAAAAGAATATTGATAGATCCCAGTTCCTCTGCCAATATCATGTTCCTCGAAACATTCAAGGTGATGGGGCTGGAGGAATCAAGCATGAACCGCCGTCCAACGCTCCTTATGGGATTCAACTCAGAACAAAAATACACCCTAGGAGAAATTGCCCTACTAATCTATGTCGAAGGGATTAACCAACAAACAACCTTCATGATACTGGACACCCTTTCTCCCTGCAACATGATCCTCGGTCGGTCATGGATTCATAGCATGCGTGTCGTACCCTCGACCTTCTACCAGACAATCAGATTCCCCAAATGGGGTATCAAAAAGATAAAAGGAGACCAAAAAGCTTCCAGAGATTGCTACCAAAACGCCTTCAAACCGAATCGTGGCGCTTTGTAGCAACTCTAGACACCTCCAGTCGGATATACAAAACCGGAACAACCAACAATAGAGGAGTTAGATGAGGTCCAGATACATCTGGAGTTCCCAGACCGAAAGACACAAATAGGCTCTCGATTCTCACCTGACATCCGTAGAAAGCCGATAGACTTCCTAGAGAAGAATCAAGATTGTTTTGCTTTGTCTCACTTTGATATGATCGGGATCGATCTTGAGGCCATAATGCACAAACTAAATATCGACCCGGGCGTCCCTCCCATAAGGTAGAAGAGAAGAAGATTCACCCTAGAAAGAAACAAGGTGATCAACGAAAAGATGGAGAAACTGCTCGGGAATGGCTCGGTCCGAGAGGTTCAATACCCAGACTGGCCGGCAAACGTGGTGTTAGTGAAAAGGAAGAATGGAAAATGGAGAGTTTGCAACGACTTCATCGACCTAAACAAAGGTTGCCTAAAAGACTCTTTCCCTCTTCCCCACGTTGATATGCTAGTGGATGCCACCGCAGGATACAAACTGCTTAGCTTCATGGACACCTTCTCTAGATATAACCAGTTACTAATGCACCCAAAGGACCAAGAGAAGACCACCTTCATCACAGAACGAGGCATATATTGCTACGAAGTGATGCTGTTCAGCTTGAAGAACACTGGGGCCACCTACCAGCAACTAGTGAATAAAATGTTCTCCAATTTGCTGGGAAACTCCATGGAGGTCTACATCAATGACATGTTGGTAAAGTCACAGATCGTCGAACAACACCTCAAGCACCTTAGGCAAGCCTTCGAGGTATAGTGAAAATACAACATAAAGCTAAACCCGACCAAATGCTCATTCGGCGTATCTTCGGGTAAGTTCGTCGGATATATGGTGACGCAACGCGACATCGAAGCTAATCCAGATCAGATTGAGGCAGTGCTATGAATCCCCTCCCCAACCGACATAAAAGACATTCAACACCTCATAGGAAGGATATCCGCCTTGACCCGATTCATCTCTAAGTCTGCGGAAAAGTGCCACCTCTTCTTCATAGCACTTAGGAAGTCAAAGAAGTTTGAATGGACGAAGGAATACGAAGAAGCGTTGGTCCAGCTGAAGCGGTACTTGACGTCGCCCCCATTACTCTCCAAACCAAAGACCGGCGAACGTCTATTCTCCTACCTGGCAGTATCGAAGTCATCCACCTCGGTCGTCCTGATCCGGGAGGAAGAAGGAAATCAACTCCCGGTCTACTACACTAGCAAATCTCTTTTGGACGTCGAAAGTCAGTACTGCCAACTCAAGAAGTTGGCTCTCGCTCTGATCATGGCCTCCCAGAAGCTGTGACCATATTTTCAATGCCACCCCATCACTGTCCTCACATCCTACCCATTGAAAAGGGTATTGCACAAGCCTGATCTTTCGGGTCAGCTCATTTAATGGGCAGTGGAATTAAGCGAGTTCGACATCACCTTCCAACCCCGCACCGTCATTAAGTCTCAAACGTTGCCTGACTTTATTGTCGACTTCGCACCAAACACCTCCTTTTAGGCAGAAAAAGAACTCATATGCTTGACTGACCACACGCCTTTGAAATGGACCCTAACAGTGGACGATTCAAGTAACGCCAACGGCAATAGCCTGGGCCTGGTACTAACCTCTCTAGAGGGAGACATACTGCACCAGGCCGTCCAGTGCGACTTTAAAACAACCAACAATAAAGCCGAGTAGGAGACGCTAATCGTCGGACTCTCATTGGCCAAAGGAATAGGGATAAAAAAAGATACAAGTGAAATCAGATTCGCAACTAGTGGTGAACCAACTCTAAGGCTCTTATCAGGCACGAGACACCAAGATGTACTTGTACCTGACCATAGCCAAAGAACTCTAGTCATCTTTTGAGGAATTCACAATCAGCTAGATCCCAAGGACCGAAAACTCCCATGCAGACGCCCTTGCCAGCTTTGGCTTGCGCTTAAGACCGAACAGCCAACGACGATCCCACTAGTACACTTACGGACATCAGGAATCACTCCGAACCAGATCAAAGTTGCTCCAGTCACCTCGGACGACTCATGGATGACACCTATCCTACGCTACTTAGAGAACGATAAACTCCCCAAGGATAAAAATGAAGCGCGGTGGCTCAGAGCTAAAGCGGCACGGTTCAACGTTCATGAGAACCGTCTACTAAGAAGATCATTCTCAAGACCATACCTCAACTGCATCACCCTAGAAGAAGCAACGTACGTACTCGCAGAGCTCCACGAAGGCGAGTATGGCAATCATGCTAGGGGGCGAAGTCTCACAAACAGGGCACTGACAGCTGGCTACTATTGGCCCACCATGCGCTCTGACGCAACCAAATATGCAAAGGCATGTGACAGTTACCAATGCTTCTTCAAGGTATCGCATCTTCCACCGAAACGGCTCAGCTCCATAAACACACTGCGGCCCTTCATGAAGTGGGGAATGGATATCGTCGAAAAGCTACCCACCGTGCTAGGACAATGAGTGTACGTGCTTGCAGTCACCGACTACTTCACTAAATGGATAGAAGCGGAAGCCTTCGCCCAAATTAGAGATTTTGAAGTTAAAAACTTCATCTAGAAGAACATCATTTGCTGATTCGGCCTACCTAAGGAGATAGTCACAGACAACAGCTCCCAGTTTATCAGTTCGGGCTTTCAAGACTTCTGTAAGACATAGAACATCAAACTGAGCTTCTATACACCCCAATACCCCTAGGGTAATGGACAAGGCGAATCCTTGAATAAAACCATTCTCCAAACATTGAAGAAGAGACTATAAAAAGCAAAGGGCGCTTGGGCGGATGAACTTCCCAAAGTATTATGGTCCTACCGCACCACCACATGGTCATCCATTGGAGAAACACCTTTTTTGTTGGCATACGGCTCGGAAGCCATCATCCCCGCAGAAGTATTGCCCCTTGGCACGGCTCCAGTGGGCGGATAAAGATGGCAACAACCAACAACTTTGCCACAACCTTGACCTTACCGATGAGCTACGAGATCGAGCATTGATCCGCAATACTGCATACCAACAAAAGGTAGCCTAGCACTACAACAAGAATGTCCGAGTGCGAATCTTCAAAGTCAGCGATTGGGTTTTGCGACAGGTCTTCCAAAACACAAAGGTGTCAGGCGCTAGCAAACTCCTCCCTACTTGGGAGGGACCCTCCAGAATCACCAAAGTCGTCAACAAAGGAGCATACCAACTACAAACTCCACAGGGAAAGAACATCACCAATAGTTGGAATGCTGCACACTTAAAAACTAATCATTTTTCGCAGTTAGACAGCTCGGCTCCAACCGCTTATCCTTCTCTCCAACGTGGGGTAGAGTGAGCTTGTACACCACCCCCCCCCCCCCTCCCCTCTTCGTTAGCCTTCTGTTTTCTCTAACATGGATTTTGTTACCGCCTAATTAATAAAAGAATGTCATTAAACTTTCTTTCATTTTTTTTAAACTTGTGGATTTGCTATGTCGAAAATGTGAACAATAGTAAAACAACTTAAGTGATTCTTATATTGACATCCAACGGGCTAAAACAAAACAACGTTCAGTGCCCTCGGCACTTACAAAAAGTGCACTCAACGGTTACAGAAAGTGCGCTCAACGGTTACAGAAAGTGCGCTCGACTCTTACAAAAAATGTGCTCGGCGCTAGAAAGGCAGTCATTACAAATGTTTACATATCTTTAGTGGCACTTCCGCTTGGCCCTAAGTCATCCCTTGTTAGCTACTCGTTCGGCGCCACTTTGCTGTCCGTTGTCTCTTGCGGCCCTCTAACCAATCCATCGGCATCAACTTCCAATGCCTCGATCTCGCCCCCATGACATCCAGCTCGGGTCCGAGGCCTTGCTCTACAAGGAAAGCTTTATACACCTCTATATCCTCATCCGACTCCCATTCACCCTGCTTCCTTGCTTTATACTCCTCCATGAGCTCCAAGCGAGTCTTCAAAACCGCCTCTATAGAGACGTTTTCTAGCCTGCAGAGAAGCGAGATCCTTTCAGCTTCCTACTCAGCTTGGGCGCTCTGCAGTTGCCAAGCAAAGTCTACGCATTCCTTCTCTAGTCGAGCTTCCCTTTCGTGGCCCGCACAGAGCCTACTTTTCAGCTCGGAGATACATCTGTGAGCTCCTTGTTGTGTCGCTCCAATTCTTTGTTTCTTCGATCCTGCGAGCTAATTAACTTCTGGAGGTGAGCACCTCTAGAGAAGGCCTGCAAGCACGAAATAGTGAACGGGTCAGATAAAGTAAAGTGGAGGGAAAAGTGTCTGAACAGAATGGGATAAGTCACATGAAAAAGACGGGCCATTGTCCACTCAGCCGCTTGGAAGCCTCCCGAGTTGGCGCTCATCTTCGGGAAAAGGTAAGGAGTCTACCACGTCCCCGACGAAAGACGTATCGGAGTAGGCCGAAGCGTCAAATGGAATAGTGATCTTTACATTATCGTCATCCGACACCACCAATGTAGTAGTCGATAGCGTCTTCTGCATCGACTGAGGAGCATTAGCCAGATTCGTTTCCGTCGGAGCCACCGAGCTCCCACCCTGTTTGGTCCTTCTGCATTTCCGCGCAGACTCCAACCGATGTTTCTCCTTTATCTCTTTCATCGACGGCATTTTAAACTCGCTGGACATCCTCTCTTCTGCAAGGCACAATTCTTCAACTATTAGTGGATGACGCGCAAATCTACCAAATACGACGAGATTTCTATACCGAGCCAGCAACACATAGAGTAACAGATGCCCGAGCAGAACAAGTATACCTTCCTTCACCTCGGGAACTTGACTCCACAAAGGACTTCTCTGCAGATTCGCCTCGCTTAACACTTGGCGATAGTTCCTCTCCTCCTCCGGCAAGGCTAGAATTGCTCGGCACGAAGACTCGACAAATGTCTGTTATAGTTGAGATCTATAAAAGAAGAAACAATGAGATTAAGTACTAACACTTGAAATAGAAACCAAGCCTTATCACTTCTCGACTGCTAGAAGAACGGGATGCCCTTGGCTCCTCCTGCTCCGAAAACCATTTCACCCCTGACAAAAAAGTATTCATCCTTCCACTTTTTGTCATATGTCTTCAGCCCTATCACCAAATGCTTCTGGCCATGCCAAAGCATGAAAAGATAGCGACCTCTCTCCTTATCATGCTTCTTCAAGTAATATGAAAGGAGTAGATCCATCGCCTTGAACTCCACTCCGAGCTGAATGCCCAAACAGTCTATCGACATGAGCAACCCCCAGACATTCGACATCAACTGGCTTAGAGCGATGTCGTAGTGACTCAACACTTCACGAACTAGCTGGGGAATGGGGAAACGCATCCCCTCTACCAAGGTTTGCTCATAAATGCTTATCCAGCCGGGCACAGATCAGTCGACTCTTTCGAACCGGCTCGGCACCCTCATCTTTATCGAAGCTGGAATCTTCCACCAGCTCAATCTGCGATGGAGGATTGTCGGGAAACATTCCCGCATCAGGTCGGCTTTGCTCGTCTCCACCTGCTCCACTAGTCGACAAAACCTCACTGCCATTGGCACGACCCACGTTGGCAGCGTCCCCTAGCTCTGACTCATTGCTAGACCCTTTGTCGGTCAACTCATCATATCTTGGCTCTACGTCAAACTCGTTCGGCTCATCGCCAAGATGAAAAATGACACTCACCTCTCTGGATGGAGCCGCCTCATCGCCTTCCGACATTACCACCATGGTTGGTGCGTCCTCATATTTATTCCCTCCAGACATCACTGCTTTGCTTCGTGGACTTCGATCTTTTTCCACCTCGACGCCATCCAAGTACCCTGATAATTGACCCCACTTGGCTCAAATTCTGATCATAACCAAATAAAGCCCCTCTCACTACGTATCCTTCTTAGACCCAGCCAAAAAACTGCCCCGTTTCACCAAATACCAACCCGAAATTCCTAGAGAAAATAAGCAAAGTCGATATTCTCTCTCTCCTAAATGAACTTGAACGTGAAAAATGGCAGGAACGAAGGGTCGCCGCCTTTAAAAAACCTAAAACTGATAGGGGACATGTGGTGTGATCTCATTGGCAACTAAAGGCCAGCGACTTTTTCGTTTCTTGCCTCTTGAATCCGTACGTGGCTCACATCAAGCGAGAGGCTCACATGCCTAAGTCGCGCCAACTCGGGCCCCTCTTAGTCCCTCCAAGCCGAACCGGTTATGCCAGTCTTAGTAAGACCACTCTATCGCACAGCGAGGACCCACGCCGTCATACTAGTGTCTCCCCGAAAGATCGATGACATCCTGGTAAGCCCCGTCGAAATCGCCGACATGCATCCAGTTGGCTGAAAGAAGCCCAAGACGTGGCGGGCTAGCTTAACATCTGATAAACACGTGGAAATGACCCCAACGACGAACACCTCGCCCAAGTTGGATACCTTTCCGCAAGCCGAACCTAGACGAGTCGAGCAAGCTCGAGCTGTATAACCACAATCTCTACGCCCTCATTTTAGTTCGGCTTGGCAACTCGAATTAAGCCGATTCATGCGCATCCCAATTAAGCATCAACGGCCAAGCAACCCACTGAAGAACCATGGCCTACCCGCATCCCGTACGTAGATAATAGATTATACTCTCTTAAGCTAAATACTCTTTAACTTAAGAGAGTGAGAGACAAACTGTATGGGCCAAAATTCATATTGGAGCTGACGAGGTCTAACCGCAACAGTAATGAATGACGGCCCAGAGCCTTAGCCCGATCCCGATTGGGCCCATGATTAGAACACCTTGGGAACAACCTACTCTATGAGTTGGGTCATCCCCCCGAGTTAAGCTGAACTAGGTCCGGTCCATTCGCCTGCAACAGTCCATAACGAGGATCAGAATCCTAATCAAACTCCTCTACCAACAAAACCTCAACAGAAAGAGGCAAAAAATCCAATCTCTTCCCGAAAAGAGAGTTCCCTTACCAAATAGGACTTAGAGTCCTACTAGGATTTGAGCCCCCGCAGTTCACTATATAAGCTAAGGTCAACCCACCCATAAGGGGAGAAAAGATCATCAGAAAACCCTATTGCTCATATCACCAAACCCATAATCTATCTCAATCCTCTGACATTGCTTGGACTCCCTAAGAGACGCTAGGAGGCACCCCGCAGGTCCACCAAGGTTGTCAGTGGCTCGCTTCACAAGATTCATTCTTCAACTCGATTGTAGCTCGCTTGACAAAATTCATTCTTCAACTCAATTGTAAATTTTAGCGTTTATACTATGTAGAGTTTATTCTTATATAGAGTATTACTGTAGAGAGGTTTTCGTGTATTTAAAAATATTGGTTATAAGATACAATAAAACAAAGGGCTTAATAGTCTTTTTATGACATTTGTTTAGATTTGGATAGCGCACGGCGAAATTTTGGGTGTGCTTGTTTGTTTTCTTTTCTTTTTTTTCTTTTTTTTTTTTTTTTTCTCCCAAGCGTTGGGTAATTTTGTAATTTTTGGAAACCATGNAGAGAAAATAAGCAAAGTCGATATTCTCTCTCTCCTAAATGAACTTGAACGTGAAAAATGGCAGGAACGAAGGGTCGCCGCCTTTAAAAAACCTAAAACTGATAGGGGACATGTGGTGTGATCTCATTGGCAACTAAAGGCCAGCGACTTTTTCGTTTCTTGCCTCTTGAATCCGTACGTGGCTCACATCAAGCGAGAGGCTCACATGCCTAAGTCGCGCCAACTCGGGCCCCTCTTAGTCCCTCCAAGCCGAACCGGTTATGCCAGTCTTAGTAAGACCACTCTATCGCACAGCGAGGACCCACGCCGTCATACTAGTGTCTCCCCGAAAGATCGATGACATCCTGGTAAGCCCCGTCGAAATCGCCGACATGCATCCAGTTGGCTGAAAGAAGCCCAAGACGTGGCGGGCTAGCTTAACATCTGATAAACACGTGGAAATGACCCCAACGACGAACACCTCGCCCAAGTTGGATACCTTTCCGCAAGCCGAACCTAGACGAGTCGAGCAAGCTCGAGCTGTATAACCACAATCTCTACGCCCTCATTTTAGTTCGGCTTGGCAACTCGAATTAAGCCGATTCATGCGCATCCCAATTAAGCATCAACGGCCAAGCAACCCACTGAAGAACCATGGCCTACCCGCATCCCGTACGTAGATAATAGATTATACTCTCTTAAGCTAAATACTCTTTAACTTAAGAGAGTGAGAGACAAACTGTATGGGCCAAAATTCATATTGGAGCTGACGAGGTCTAACCGCAACAGTAATGAATGACGGCCCAGAGCCTTAGCCCGATCCCGATTGGGCCCATGATTAGAACACCTTGGGAACAACCTACTCTATGAGTTGGGTCATCCCCCCGAGTTAAGCTGAACTAGGTCCGGTCCATTCGCCTGCAACAGTCCATAACGAGGATCAGAATCCTAATCAAACTCCTCTACCAACAAAACCTCAACAGAAAGAGGCAAAAAATCCAATCTCTTCCCGAAAAGAGAGTTCCCTTACCAAATAGGACTTAGAGTCCTACTAGGATTTGAGCCCCCGCAGTTCACTATATAAGCTAAGGTCAACCCACCCATAAGGGGAGAAAAGATCATCAGAAAACCCTATTGCTCATATCACCAAACCCATAATCTATCTCAATCCTCTGACATTGCTTGGACTCCCTAAGAGACGCTAGGAGGCACCCCGCAGGTCCACCAAGGTTGTCAGTGGCTCGCTTCACAAGATTCATTCTTCAACTCGATTGTAGCTCGCTTGACAAAATTCATTCTTCAACTCAATTGTAAATTTTAGCGTTTATACTATGTAGAGTTTATTCTTATATAGAGTATTACTGTAGAGAGGTTTTCGTGTATTTAAAAATATTGGTTATAAGATACAATAAAACAAAGGGCTTAATAGTCTTTTTATGACATTTGTTTAGATTTGGATAGCGCACGGCGAAATTTTGGGTGTGCTTGTTTGTTTTCTTTTCTTTTTTTTCTTTTTTTTTTTTTTTTTCTCCCAAGCGTTGGGTAATTTTGTAATTTTTGGAAACCATGATGGGGTTTTTGTCGTTCTTGGTTGTTCTATCTGCTTAGAAAATATCACCGTTCCGCAGTAGATTAGAAAATTGGAGAACTGTTGAAGCAAGCAGCAAGAGGTAGCGCGAATTTGCAGCGACAAGGATGCTCAACATCGGAACATTTTCACCCCTTGATTCTACATCTCTCCTTTCACTAAACAAAACCTTCTTCTCTTCAACTAATTCACTCTTCACATTCACCTCCAAAAACGCATCTTTTTCATCTTATTCTTATCCACAACACACCCATCTCACGTTCAATAGAAGCGACAATGGGCTTTTGCTGTTGCGTGCGTCTGCTTTGAATAATAGGCGGAGAAAAGTTGGCACTGACATCGTGGAAATGGACGGCTCTGATTTTGATGACGACGAAGATGATGACGATGAGGGAATGTTTTTGCCGTTTGGGGAGATGAAGAGGTGGCTGGAGAGCAAGCCTCGTGGGTTCGGTGAAGGCAAGGCTTATGATACATCTGTTGAAGAAAAATTGCTTGAAGAAATGGAGCAGAGTAGACAAGCTCAAATTGCTAATATTAATAAACTTAAAAACAACCCAGTGAGCATTAGTCCCAAGAAACTCGATGGAAGCAACAAAGGTTAGTCGTTTATGCGAACTCATAATTAAACTGTAGTTCATAATTGTTTCAGCATTTATGTGCTTTCCCACTAATGTTCAATATTGTTCGTTTTGTCTTGTTGTTTTTACATTTTGATTTGCAGTTATAATTTTGTGAACATGAAGTTTTAGAATTAATGATGATGCTCTAAAAAAGAGTTAAATGAAAAGGAATGTTTCATATTGATCCTGTTTTAGAGCTCTATTGAATGGAAACTTTTTTACTTGCTAGTAGGGGTGAACTATTAGGTGTTTGGAATCTATTTCACTGTGAAAGTTTAGACTTTAGTATGTAATCGTAGTGTCAAATGGAGCCTAATTGATTCTTAAGCAAGGTACCGTCTTTCTATTTTCCTGGCTTTGCTTTTGGAGAGAGTGGTCATGTTCGTTCTTGCAATCCTGTCAAATGCTAAGTGCTATGTGAATGCGGAAAAGTTCTTGAAAATGAGAATGGAACTAATTTGTCAATTTAATTGGCCCATTTTACCATACTGGAATATGCATTTTCTATCACCAGCTCAGCTTTGCCAATATCAATGACATTAATGAAATTTCATTCAACAGAACATTTAGGAGACTTTTTTCTGCCACTGATTTCAATATTAATAAGCACATTAATTATACAATCTGTACTATTTGCCTCACTTCTGTGAGAATCTCAATCCTCATTTGATCTATTTAAGAACATTCCCTTGCCAAATCCAATGGATTGTGTTGTGCCACCAGTTCATATTCTTTCTCTCCCAGCCTCTTCTTTTTCTTATTATCATATGCACCGTACTTTGGCATTCCCTGTTATTCCCATGAATAGATGTTGATGACATTTGCCTTGCAAATATATAGTAGGAACATACTTCCATAATTTCTGTTTCCTAAACCCCGGGGTTTAGGAATTAATGTCCTCTGGCATTTGATTTTATAATAATTCTTTTGCCTATGATACTCAATCAATACTAATTCTATTTTAATGCAAAAAATTTCGTAAAATTTGGCTTCTACATGCCAACTTTAGTCTGACTTGATGTAACATACTGGAGTTTTACAGCATCTGAAGTAATTCCAAGCAGTATTCGTGTACGATTGATCAACCTTCCTAAGAAAAAGAACATCCACAGGGATCTGAAATCTGCTTTTGAAGGTGTCCCTGGTATAACTAACATAAGCCCAGCGGTCTCTGGAAACAAGAAGACTAAGGACCCAATTTGCAAGGGCTTTGCTTTTGTTGATTTCAAGTCTGAGGAGGATGCAACCAGGTACTTTTGGCGGCAAACTCTTTTTGACCTTGATCGCTTTCTTTGATCTTAAATTGAGTTGAGGAACATAAATTCTTTTTCTTTATATATCTCTTGGATTTATGCTGTTTCTCTCCATAAAGAAAGTAAATGTTTCTTGAAGTGGATATTATCTACACAGATATCTAACTTCTTTCTCTTACTATGACTATGGAGAGAAATCTGAAGATCTGTTTTTGTGTACTTTGTCATGTTAAAAGCACCTTTATACAGAATTGAATATTTTGTCACTGATTCGTATTTTGTTGAAATGGCAATTTATGCATTTAGTGACATAAGAAAGTCTAGCTACTAAAACAGATGTAAAGAAGTTCCAGGGCAAATATGTGAATCAGACATGATTTCAGATTTATGCAGAAACCATGCACAGACATGTATACTGGGATCATTTATTCAATTTGAAATCCTAACAAATTTGCTGGGTGCAATTAGGTATATATTTCATATTGAACATTGCATCAGAACATTATAAAAAGACATCTAAGCTTTGTTTGGAAGGAAAAGGGCACACTGTGATTCTTATGGTTGAGCTCCAGTAGGTTGGTTAATCTATCAAAACTTAAATAATTTGAGCTGGAGCATTTTTAATTGAAAACATTTCCTCTTATGGCAGGTTTGTGCAAATATTTTCACGACAAAGTATATCATTTGGGAAGATTCAGAAGCAGATAAAATGTGAGCTGATGAATTCAAATTCTTCCAATGATGTTCATGAGCATTCCGTGGACAGCCCCTCCAGCGATACTGAACTTAAAGTTGCTGACTTGGAAGATGATCCAGATGCTGATTTGGCTGTGGATGATGAGGATTCCTTGGATTCATGGATGGAAGCAGCCTCTGATGCTTCTGATCCAGATGATGAACTTGACTTGGCGGAATTGGAGGATATGAGAGAGAATCTAGAACTTGTCAGTGTATCAGAGCTGACTGATGATGATATTGTGAAACGCTGTGCCAAATCTGCCACTGATTCATCTTCCTCAAATAACCAAAAGAAAATCCGGAATATTGAAAAAAAGCTAATTGCTAAAGGAAAAGTAAAGAAGGTTCCGAAGTTGAATGTTCCAGGATCTGCAAAGAGGTAAGCTTCCAGCTTTTTGTATTTGTGGGTCCGATTTATTGTGAAGTTTGTTTGATATATGTGGTTCTGTTTATGATGATACAGATTAAGAGTCAAGGAGAAGGCTGTGCTGACAGACGTGTTTTCAAAATATGCAGCAAAAGCTTCTTTAACCTCCAAGGAAGGGAGCTGACCATTGAATGTACAAATTACAAATTGTTACAAAGATGGAGACGAATAGTAGTGGTTAGTGAAGTGGCGTGTAAACTTCTTATGCTTGGAAAACAGTGGCCATAATGAAAAAGTTATGTCTTGCTTTGTGTTTGAGTTGTACCTGATAACCACCTAACTGTTCTGGGTTTGCTGTATGTCCATTGATCCTCATGATTCTGAGATAGATAATGCCCGACTTCACCTTCCATCTGAACCTGAACGTAGTATCATTGCAGCTGAGCAACCTTCCCGTTTTAAATATATTTGAACAAATATGAAAAAAATAAAGGCAGCCAAGCAAAGGAATCCCAAGTTTTACTATCTGAAAAATAAAATTAAAAAACCCATCAGAGAAATTGACCTGGTTAGGCCATGGCAAAGGAATACGAAGCTTTACTAATCTGATTGATGCATTCAGTTGGATTCTACTTCCACTAAAATTGCAAGCAATTCTCAATATCATAATCATAATAATTTGTGTAACCATGTGTTAATGCCGAAGTTCCATGTCGGTTAGGAGATGTCTTGGTCTTTTATATAGTACAAGGATATCTTTACCACCTAGAGGGGCATTTTCAGGACAAAACCGTTGTATTGGTGCTAAAGTAATAACTCCTTGCCCTGCTTGGTGTCAAAGTCCTAACCCTTCACCCCCTAGGGACTATGTTGGTAGGGGTGGGCAAAATTTGAAGGTAGAACCAGAACCAATGGGTACCTAGGTGTCGGTTTCAGTTCCTACATGGAACCAGCCGTAATAGGGTAGGTTTCAGTTCCAAAAAATTGGAACCGATACTGTACGGTTCCGATTCCGGTTCCAAATCAAAGGAACCGGAACAAGGACTAAATTGATAAAATATTAAAGAATAAGGGGTTTTTTGATATTTTGCATGTGGGGTTTTTTTTTTAATATTTTACCTATCATATAAATATATAAGAAAATTTTGGTTTTTTTTTTTTTTTTTATCTTAGTATCAAAAGCCTTATTAATTTTCATTAAAAGATCAGTTTTTAAAAATATTTTTATTAATATTTAAGTTTCACTTATTACTTGATTAAAAAATTAATATACATTAAGATATTTACGTTAAATAATAGTTTTAAATATTTTTTACTGATGAAAACAAATAATTAAATACTTATAATCAGGCATAAAACATTAAGTAAATATAAACAAATATATTATTTAATGTTTTGCGCTTAATTGTTAGGGGTGTAGTTTATTTGTCATTTTTTAAAAAAAGGTGGGTAATTGCAATTTTTAGGGTACCCTGAACCGGAACTTATAACACAAGTTCTGGTTCTAAGTTTTCCAGAACCGGAACCGACGGTTCCGATTCTGGTTCCAAATTAGAGGAACCGCCCGATTCCTATTCCGATTCCGATTCCGATTCCGGTTCCTTTGATTTTGGGTGGGTACCCGGGCTTGCCCACCCCTATATGTTGGTGTCAAAGTCCTACATTGGTTAGGAGACCCACTCACCACCCAAGGACGCCTTTTTAGGACAACCGTCTGGGCCTCAAGGTCCAAAGCAGACAATGCCTTCGGGAACCCGCCTACCATATGGGTCACAAGGCTCACAATATCTCTAGGAACTCACCTATCGTGCGAGTCCTAGGTCTCAAAGCGGATAATAACACTATGAACCTACCTATTGTGTATAGTGATGGCAATGGGCCCAGCCAGGACCAGGTACCCCTTGGCCCAAGTCCAAGCCCGACCTCATAACAAAGGCCCAAGCTCAGCCTGGGCTTGTTACAAGTATAATAGGTAAAGCCAAAGCCCAGCCCGACGGGCTTTTTGTAACCTCAGGCCCGACCCAAGCCTGCCCATTTTTATAATTTCAATTTTTAAATATTGATAAATTTCAATTTTTTTTATTTTTAATTTTAAAAATAGTTTTTAAATATTAATTTATTTTTGAATACTCATCAAATGGGATGAGATTAGGGTTTGGGAAAAATGGGTATATATATATAGGATAATCTTGTAATTAAATATATAGTATAAAGATAATTTAGAAAAATTAATACTAAAATTATGGGGCCGGGCTTGAAGGCATACCCAGGCCCGGCCCGTACCAGAGGTCGGGCTTTAAAATCAGGCACAGACCCAAGCCCGCGAACACTGGGTAAAACTCGACCTTTTCAGATTGGGCCGGATACCCAAAAATATCGAGCCCATTGCCATTTCAATCGTGTAGGCCAGGCCATAAAGTAGACAGTCTTTGGGAACCAACCTTCCATATGTCTGAACACCAAGTAATAGCTCTTGGAATCAAATTTCACTTGCACCACAAGTAAGAGGTGGTTTTGTTGAAATTTTATAAGTTTGAAAACAATTTGAAGCAAAATAAAATGATAAAGAAACAAGGTAAATAAAAGAAGGGACTGGTGAACCCCAACGGCTTAACCCATCAAAACCCACCTTAAACCCCTACCAAATTAGCCCATCTCTCAGACAGACGTAGCTTTCGCCGAACAGAAGCACTGCTCTGGCAGAGCTTCATCGATTGACTCAACTGGTACTTTACGTTTGGTCGTTTGTTAACTCTGCTCTCAAATACCAATATCTTTTATTTTATTTTATTTTATTTTTTTGGATAAAAAAAGCATTTCTTCGCTTCCAGAAATTCAAAACAATCTGGAGAGAACCATATTCTGATGAATTGCTTATCGCACGCGACGTCATATTCTGCATCTATACTTAGAGGGACTCGTAATTTCATTGTTAGGAGTAGTTTTCATCATCAAGCTTATTGTCCTCTTACATGTAAAACAAACTTTGGGTATCTGGGTGTTAAAACTATCGATTTAGATTTTCTGCTGAACCGATTTCGTGTTCAATGTTACACTTCTAGAAGGAGTTCTACTGCCAAAACATCTCGGTCTCGTAAATTAAATACTGAACCGGTGATGGAACAAGACAAAGATGAGTTCTTTGTTGTGCGGAAAGGGGATGTTGTTGGTGTTTACAAGAGCTTGGCTGAATGTCAGGCCCAAGTTGGATCTTCTGTAATTCTCTTTTCATCCTTATTCACTTTCACTTCTTCAAGTTATGTCATCTGTGAATTCTTTTTAATTGATCCCTTTCTGCGTTTGTATTTTAAATTGGATAAGTAATTTATAGAATTACTTTTAGGACTTTGTGATATGTAGATGCAATGTGATCTTGTTTCTTGATTTTCTATGTAATGAACAATAATTGATTGCGGTTTTTGTTGTAGGTATGTCATCCTCCCGTCAGTGTGTACAAAGGGTACTCTTTGCCAAAGGACACTGAAGAGTACCTTGTCTCCCATGGGCTTAAGAATGCTCTTTACACTATCAGAGCTGCAGATTTGACTGAGGGTCTTTTTGGTTCACTTACTCCATGTCCTTTTCAAGTAAGATGACTAATGAACTCTGAGGTGAAATTTAGAGTCGTTTAATTATTTGTCTGGTTCATGTTTTGCACCAAACAATTATCTTTTCTATTTTATGAGAAATCCTTTAATAATCTCTGTTGCATTTGTGGCCTGAGCTGCTCTACTTTGGGTCCATGATTAAAAGTTTAATTTGCTCAATTTTTAGTGACCTGGTTTGATCATTTTGAGATGTTGGATGGGGCATCATACTATTTGAACCTTTATTTAATTTCACCATTTTGATTTTTCAATAAGACAATAATTCTTACTCGTATTTTGTTCTTTCAGTTTTGAGTTTCGGCTGTATGTTGATCTGAACTTCATTGTATCATCTTTGGTTATAGCTATCCTTCTTGTTGTTCTATCCATCCAAACAAGACTGCAAGCCTCAATATTTGCATGTGCTTGCTGTCTAGCTAGCATTATGAAAAGAATATTGGCACTAGTGACATAAAATTGTTTTATTTCTTTTCCAGGAACCTGCATCCGAAAAGAGGTCTCATGATAAGATTGAGGTAAGCTAGGATACATTGTATTCTGAACAGTAGCATCAAGGTTCAAGAGTAACACAAAATGGTGGTACATTTTTAAAAACGATGTTCAGTAATTGTTTTGGTTGCGTCTTTGTTATCACCAATTTAAAACAAAAAACAAAGAATTTGTTTTCATTGCTTCCCATGCATATGTTTCTCTTTATGTCTCTGCCCTGTAGAACGCTTTATATTTTTATACTCCATTAGTCACCAAGAAGTCCAATGAGAGAGTGAGATTCAGTTTTCTTGCTCTTGTAACTTGAACCTTTGCTATATGTAAATTTTTTTCCTAGCTAAGTTCTAATTTAAAATTCAATATCTCATTTTTATTGCAATATGGTCATTTTATCATGAGAGATGCTAATTTTAATGTAATAAAAGAGAATAAGCTCTAAAATGAATACATGCTTCTAAACAGTATGTCAAAAGGAGGGAATGTAACCATAAAGAAAGAACAAATAAAAAATAAGGTAACTATGGAAATTGCATGAAATGTTCTTTTGTAATAACCACAGTTAATAACTGCAGTGCTTCTTAGTGATGAGGAGTTCTCTGCCAACCTGATTAACTTCATGACAAAAATTTTGGAAAAAATCATAGGTAAATTGACCGCTGGGTAAGTGGCAGATTGCTTATAAGATTAATTGAATACATTCAGTTCTTCTTTCCCCCACTTAAATCGTTAATTTGGATGTGAATCTTGTGCTAAGTTGCTCATGTTGTTTGATGTATACTATTTGATAATATTGTTGGTTTGCACATAATGTTTCGTGGATTGATTAGTACAAGCTCATTGTTTTCAAGTTTTGAGATGGTCACTTTATGCAAAATGCTAAAACATAGGACCATATCTGAAAGTACCCCTCTCAGGATCCTGCTTCAGCAGGAGCAGTAGTAAGCTACCGTTTCATGCTTTGCAGGATATGTGAACTTTAGTTTCTCTATATTTTATTTATATAATTTGTAATTCTCTGCAGGAAACACCTGGTTCAACATCCATTTTAACTGATCCCTTGAAAAAGCATGTCAAGTTGGACCATGATGTTGAGACCCAAGCAGCACCCTCTGATTCTGTATGTAATCTTCGAATTCATAGTAAAGAAAAAAGTAAACATGTGCTGGGGTGACCTTATTGCAACCCCATCTGTGGATGCAACTGTGCTCTCCCAAATACTTGTGCAGGTCTTACCATCCCCATGGTATGGAGCAGATACAGCAAAAACTTGGAATATCAGGAAAATCCTTTCCTATTTTATTCCGAGTTAATGGTTGAATTTTGTTGGCACCTTACTGGAGGACTTTTCTCCCCAGTATTTTATCTAAGATTTTGTAGTTGACGTTAAAAAAATCTTGATTGTTATTTTGGGTTTTGATGACAGATATTGTTTTATCATAATGCCTTTGAATATGGATGGCACTGAAACAAAATACGATCCATGTAACATGTATTTGTGTGCAGCGCTCTTGTATTATTGAATTTGATGGGGCATCAAAGGGCAATCCTGGACCAGCTGGTGCCGCAGCTGTGCTGCGAACCAATGATGGAAGTTTGGTAAACATTTTACTATCCTGGATACGTTATTTTGTTTTATACCTTTTTATCTTTTTTTTTTTTTTTCCCAGGAAACAAAAATAATTGTATCCAAACTAAAGAAGATGCAAAAAATGGACAAGCTAACCACAAAAAGTAGGTGTAGCTCTCCCTATGGACCTGAGATAGGTCAGTCACATACAAAAAGTATTAAATCAAACAAAAACCTACTAGAGACCCCAATCAAAATAACGAAAGCCAACTAGCTATAATATTGAAGCTTCCCAATTATGATGAATGAAGAAAAAAGATACTTCCTTAAACTCTGAGGAGACAGAAGCCCAAAACTTATATAGCTTTTATCTGTCTAATTCCCTTTTTTGAACAGATCTGTAAATTGCGTGAAGGTATGGGCATTGCAACTAATAATGTTGCTGAATATCGAGCCTTAATTTTGGGGTTGAAGTACGCTCTTCGAAAAGGTTATACAAACATACAAGTCCGAGGAGACTCCAAACTTGTCTGTATGCAGGTTTGCTGCTGTTTATGCTTTCTTTTATATGTTCGATGTTTTGTTTTATTTGGACTGTATGCATTAGATTAATAGTTACGAGATTTACCCTCATCTCTGATTATTATCCTTTTTTGGTCTTTTCTTTCTTCTAAATTTCGTTATGCGGCTTGCTTCTTCTTGGTGCAGGTTTTGGGTTCGTGGAAGGCCAAAAACTCGAACATGTCTGATCTATGTACGGAGGCAAAGAAACTGAAGGATGGATTTCTTTCATTCCAGATGACTCATGTTCTAAGGGTGAGTGTGGTCTATTCTGCTTCTTGTTTGTGTTCAATCTTACTTGTGCATTTGTTTAATTTTGCATTGTTCAAGTTCAAACTAATGTGTACTAATCTCATCATGTATAGACAGCAGAAACAGAGTTTTGAACTTATGATTGCCACTTACCCTTCAATGTAATTATTAAGGATAGGAAAGGCATAATCCATCAGATATCTTTAACTCTTGTGTACATTGAATGCTTGCAGCATATCTACCAGGTGTAGCATAGCATGATTTCTAGCCATCAACTCAGTAATTGTATACCTGAAGCCTTCAATTAATTAATGGTTCCCCTAAATGTGAACCAATCCTTGATGGTCGACAGGTTATTACTAATATGGCTAGTTATTAGTTTAATGTGACATTATTGGCTCAGCTCAGGTGCTTTTTGTATCAGTTAGGCTTGTATTAATCAAAAGTCCCAACTGCCGGGGTACCCTGTCTCCCTAAAGCTATTCCTGTGTTATATCTTTTCTTGTAACTGCTGTCCAATTATTTTCTCTTCCTTTTGTGTTTCTTAAGCTTAAATTTTATCATAGTTTATCCTTATGAATGGTGCATTCATTTTAAGGAGTATACATTAATTTACTCAGTTCATGCATAATATTCCTGCCTTTTTTCCCCTTTTCTTTTTTTTTTAAAACAAGATTATAAGATTTTCTTATTCATTTTAAAGGACCTGAACTCCGAGGCTGATGCTCAAGCAAACTTGGCCGTTCATCTTGGTGGTGAGGCCCGCATGATTTATTTAAACTTTCTGCAGTTAGCTCGATTCAGTAAATTCATTGATCCTTATTCAGTTGTGTGCTGTTGCAGATGGTCAAGTTACAGAGAATTTTGAATAATAGTTCAAATGATGGACTGTTGGGAGTGATTAAGGTTTTTCTTTTTAGCCAAAATAAATGTATAATTAGCTCCAAGATTTACATATTGCTCTTTGGGCTAAAATTTTGTTCTTTTATTAGGTGACCTGACATTAATGAAAAATTAAACCAGAAGGTGTCCGTCCTCGCTACTGGCGGCGATCCTGATATAGTGAATATGGTATTCATAAGAATCGTTCAACCATCTTTTGATTTTGGAGGAAGATTCTAAAATTGAGGCCTTGGCTTGCACCAATCCCTACCATAATTTGCAAACTGAATTGATTATTAACTCAACCCAGAACTGGATTCAGCTGCTTGGGGAAGAGGAAAGAACAAAACTTTGTAATTTTACTTTTGACATTCTTAATATTAATATTAGTTGCATTCCTTCTTACTTACCACCACAACTGCTATTGCAGGCATGTAATACTGAATTGATTGTTGATCATAATTTGTGTGGCATTATAGAGTTTTGATTCATAATTATTTATTTCCATTTTTTACCTCAAACGATTCTTAACCACAGGGTTTAACGAGTTAATCATGTTTTGATACTAAAAGAATGTAAACCGTCGGTTTAAGGTAAATTTCATATCAGACGGTTAACAATTCTCTAAATAAAACAAGCCCTTAATTTGACTCTTTTTTATCGGTATCCCTCTAAACGGGAACCGACTTGGGCACCACGAAAGGTACGGAAACGACACACTCCTTTCATTTCAGTATGTGCAGCTCAAGAACATAATGACTTGAATCGCTGGAGTTTTGAGCAAAAATGTTATTCAGACACTCTCAAAAATTGACTAAACATTCTTCTTCTCTTTTGAGAAATCATATTCATGGCTTGTTTTACTCAGCTTTTTCCTTTGCATCATCACCAACCCACGTCGTTTCTGGAGCGCCCGCTGATGTTGCCGACGTTACTGGGGCTGCTGATCTCGTCTTCACTACACCAGGTTCTTCCACTGTGAAGCCGCTGACTGACCCCACTCTTCTGCAGCCACGTGTCGTCATCTATGATGGCGTTTGCCATCTTTGCCACGGAGGTCTTTTTTGGTTTTTTTTTTTTTCCTTCTTCTTTTGATCCAAATGATAACTAGTAATCATCATTGCTAGTTATGACTTGCTCTTCTTTTGGGTTTTTGTTATGTAGCCAATAATCGCTGTTATTTTGTTGAGTTTCTATCTGTTTCATATTCAGTTTTGGGTTTATCTGTTATGTGTAGTTTCATTTGTGTTAAACTTGTTTNTTTTTTTTTTTTCAATAATTCGCGAATAATTCGGGAGGGCTTAAAATATGCGTATAATTCGACAAATTTTGGAAAATACGTATACGGGCGTTTTATACGCGAATTATATGGCTGTCCGTACAATTTGCGTATAATACGCGTTTTTACTAACTAGGCTGGAAAGTGGAAATTGGAGCTACTCATTGGAAATTTGGAATATAACTCTTCATCGCTTAAGATTCCGGTGCCATTCTTGATGTGTATTATAATTATTCATTTGAGCATTTTAATTTTTTATTAATTCATGCTAATTTGTACATCGTACCTCATTTGACATAGTTTAGAACTATATACACCATTGTGCATGATTTTCCCACGGTCCGGTTTGTGTTAACTGTTTGCAAACTACATCAAGATCGGGCGAACAAGATTGTCACGTGTCGCTCCCACAACAGATGATTTAGCCAGTAAGCATGTCAATCCTAAGCATAATTACTCTGACTTAAGTATAGGCAATGATTGACTCAGATCCGAATTATGGAGGATTATGCATGTAATCCACCTCGCAACCTACCAACTCTCAACCATTGTGAAAAACGCATGTATAAAAGGAGGGCGTCGCCTCCAACTAACACACTTAAGCAAATAGCCCACTCAATGAAGCCCAATAAGGTTGCTATTATGGTTCCTCTTTTGTAATTAACTTGCATTTAATTTAGGTCAAAATAATAAGATAACAGAGGATATAGGCTTGGTTTTAAATCGTCGAACTACTATAAATTTTTTTCCTGTTTTCCATTATTTAGCACAAACTCCATCGCCTAACTGATTATCCATAATTATGTGCACATCCTACTCAGTCCCAACTTGGTAGACTAGGTATCTTTGGTTGTTGCGAATTTTCATAACAACATACAGTATTATGAATCATATGATTCACACAACAATTACAAATTAATGTCATATTATTGATGATACAAAACTTAGAATATAAATTTGCTATACATAACATTATTTTTTTCTCAATTAAGTCAAGGCTTTGATAATAATATCGATAAAAAAGCGTATAGAACTTCATTATTATTATTATTATTATTATTTATCAATACACTTGAAAGTATATTCTAAAATATGCAACAGAATAAATGATTTGTTTTTAAAGTTAAATCATATGTTTGGATCACAAACCATATCTGGAAACATAAATACTATACATACTACTGGTTTTTACTAACCAGCATACAACATGACGTGGTATCTAATGTGACGATGCCAACTCATATGCCACGTCACCTAGTTAAAAAAAAATTTGAAAAAAGTTTTGCTTTTGTCTTAAAGGAACGAATTTTTGCCTCCAAAAACTTTGCCTCCCTAATCCCAATTTTAATAACTTAAATCTTCTCTCCCAAATCTCAATCTTAATAACCTACATCTTCTCTCCCAAATCTCAATCTTAATAACCTAAATCTTCTCCCAAATTAAATCATACCCAAAACCCAAACTACCCATCCCAAATTTGAGCATTTGAATTGCCAGCTGCGACATCCACTGTCGCCATCGCATTTGTCTCCGTGCTGACCAGTGAGAGTTCCTTTTGAGTGGTAAGAGCTTACTCACTCAATGGTCTCTCTTACTTGCTTGCTGCTATTGGGAGAAGTGGAACACAACACTTGCTTGGTGCTTTTAAGTTGAGAACCATGTATAAGTGTGTATAAGTTTTGTGATAAACAATATTATAGTGAAAAAGAGCTTTATAAATCCAATAAATTGAGGAAATTTTTTGTGCAAATTTAAAACAGTGAAAGTGAATTGCACAATTTGGGGAAGAAAAAGTTGAAATCGGATGACTTGCTGACTGGTTTTGGTAGTGCCCAAAATCCTTTTCTTGAGGACTAAAAATATAGTTTTCAACAAGACACTTAGAAATCTTTTATGTTAGTTATCATAATCATATAATTACAATGGCTAAAGTAACTATCTGGACTGTCTTTCCCCAATTTTCAAGTGCGACCCAAATTTTGTAGCATGTGTTGGTCAAATTAATAAATCTTTGTGTTTGTTGAAGGCCTAGACTTATGCATGCTTTCTTGAAATTCTTCATGGAAAATACATCTTTGTGTGACCTTAATACTGGTGGACATTTTTGGTACTATTTTTATTACTAACATGCATGCTTTTTTAGTACACAAGTTTAGTTTAGTTCGTTGCATTCGAAATGAATTTAAGTTGTTAAGGGTTTTGCAGAGGAGGTAGAAACAAATGCCGATAACATGCAAGAGCAGACAATGGAGGAGATGAATGAGCAGTTAAAGGCTTCAGTTTCTAATATTGATAGGTTAAGCATTGTAATGAAACAAAGTTATTATTAAGTACCAATGAGTACCCATGTTTTTTATGATATATGATAAATTTTTGTATATGCACAAGTTAATGTAGTTAGAACAAAATTTTTGGTGGTTTTGTTTCTATCATGTTTGTTATCTTATAATATTTTAATTATGGGTATTATAATATAAATGAATCAGGATAATCAATTTCAAGAAGTTGAAGATAGAGGAAGTGCAGAGGAGGAATGGGAGCCGAAGCTTGGAATAGTTTTTGATTCACTTGATAATCTTCTCCAATACTATAGAAGCTATGGGAATAGAATGGGGTTTGAAGTTATTATCAGATCTTCAAGGAAAAGAGATGATGGAGAGGTGACAAACACAACACTAGCTTGTTCTTGTATTGGGAAGTTGAGTAGTAACACACGAAATGCTTTTAAATTGTACCAAATGACAAAGACGGATTGTAAGGCTCAGGTTGGTGTAGTCGTACATAGTAATGGAAAATGGCAAATATGTTCAGTGGGGTTGAATCATAACCATGAGCTTAGTAGCCCAACGAAAACTAGATATTTCAAGAGCAGTCGTGGTATACAACCATACGTGAAAAAGAGACTTGAAGTAAATGATAGGGCCAAGATTAGGGTGAATAAAAAATTCAATTCCATGTTAGTTGAAGCAGGTGGTCCTGAGAATTTGACTTTCTTGCAAAAATATTGTAGGAACTATATTGAAAAAGTTAGGAGGATGTGACTTGGTGTCGGGGACGCTTATGCAATCCAAAAATATTTTTTGAAGATGCAAAAAGATAATGCAAATTTCTTTTACATGATGGATTTAGATGAGGAGGGTCGATTACTGAATGTTATATGGGTGGATGCAAGAAGTAGGACTGCATTTAAGGAATTTGGTGACATTGTCACATTTGACAATATATACTTGACCAACAAGTATGATATGCCATTTGCGGCGTTTGTTAGTGTTGACCATCATGGACATTCAACACTCTTAGGTTGTGGGTTAATCTCCTATAAGAACACGAAGACTTTTGTTCAGCTTTTTGAATCTTGGCTTGCATGTATGTGAAATTGTGCTCCAAATGCAATAGTCATGGATCAAGACAAGGCGATGCAAAATGCAATCGAGATTGTGTTTCCCGGTACACGACATAGATGGTGCTTGTGGCACATAATGAAGAAATTGATGGAAAATTTAAAAGGTTATAGCGAATATGAACGTACTAAGTTTGCTTTGCAAAATGTTATGTATGATTCATTGACATGTGAGGAGTTCGAACAACATTGGACTGAATTCATTGATAAATACAACCTTCCAACAATGAGTGGTTATTTGGACTGTATAATGAAAGTCAACGTTGTGTACCAACGTTTGTAAAAGACACCTTTTGGGCAGGTATGTCTACCACTCAACGAAGTGAAAGTATGCATGCATTCTTTGATGGGTATGTAAATTATAAAACCACTTTGAAACAGTTTGTAGAATAGTATGAGAATGCACTGTGTGATAAAGTAGAAAAAGAAAAGGAGGTTGATTTTAGATCATGGAAATCATGGATCCCTTGCATAATCGGTTATCCAATGGAGAAACAATTTCAAGAGGCATACACGACCATAAAATTCAAAGAGTTTCAGCAAGAGCTGACTGTTAAGTTGCGTTGTGAGATATCTTCTTTCTGGGCCACTGAATTTGAAATAGAATATATTGTAAAGGAAGTTGTTATGGTTGGGGAGACATGTCGTAGTGTGCCTTTTGTGGTTTGCTATGATGACTGTGGTTGTGATGTTCGTTGCAACTGTCAATTGTTTGAGTTTAGAGGGATTATTTGTCAACATGCAATAGCGGTGTTGCTTCATAAAGAGATTTATCATATACCTGAAAAGTTCATTTTAAGTAGGTAGAGGAAAAACGTATATAGATGTCACACGAAGATTAGAG